TTCAAATTTGATCATATCTACACGTAAGTGAGCAAGAGTTCAGTGTAAGGACATGTATGGATACTTAATATATTTTGTTTGGTTTATACAGAATATGTCGTCTTCAACACAGTCAGATGAACTACATTTAGATCAACTAGATATACTAGGTGCAGTAGAAATTCATTGAAAAATATGGAAACAGTATGTCTAAACTATGCAATAAAAATTACTTCACAAAGATACAGAGAACAAAGAAATAGTTACTGTCCCCATTATTTTTTATTTGTTCATTTAGAACATCAAAGTCATGACACTAATAATAATTATTATTGCTTTCTGGTAAATCTACAACTGAAACACCTGAGGCTATAAATCCATTTTCAATTTTAGAAACACATGCTACTTAATCAGCCAAACAAAAATAGGAAAAATAGGTTTTATTTAAAAAATAGGAGAAAATAGGAACCTGGTCAAAAAATAGGAAAAAAGTAGGAACTGGGCACCCTGATTATTGTTGCAAATTATTCTGAGAACAGAGCATTTTTCATGTAAGTGACAGCTAACGTGTTAGGTTGTCTTTTATAAATTAAATTTGAGCGGTTTTTACCAATTGTAACTACCTACTCAATTCCTTGTGGAGTGTTTATTGTATTTAAACACAAAGTAAAACACTTTCTACTTTTCATTTTGAATTAACAGGAACATCCTTACTTGGATCACAGTGAATCACTCTGACTCCTATAGAAAAATGTAGATGCCATTGAATTTCTATAAACCTCTAGTCAATTTCTTGTTAACTGCAAATTAAGTTTCAAATGTAACTTATAGGTTACACTGCATATAAACCTTTTACCTAAACTATGTTCTAATTCAAATATCTTTTAGAATTTCTGATTGTTCAAGACAATTACTACTGAGACATTTTTACCTTCAACTGGAATTTAGCTGTACTTCTATTATATATGAATTATATAGTATAATATCTTTTATATACAGTTGCAGAATTTATATTATTTTCTATGATGTCCTTTATTGTTAAGTAACTTTATTATATGGCTTGTGTTTGTAGCGGATATAATTGATCGGCTAATTCTAGGTCATTGTTCTCGTGTAACGTCTGCGGGCCTGCAAAAACAAAGCAAAAGCCAGATAATAAACAACTTATTAACCTCAAATGTTTTGGTCTTTACGCGAAAATCTCAAACCTCCACTTTGCCATATTGCCCTTGGTGTCGCTCGGTCAATACGGCAACGTCTCAGTTTGAGATTTTCCCGTAAAGAACTCAGTCTCGGTAAATAAGTACGTGTAGTTACTTAGTAATATTATTACCATGAAATTATTTTGTAGTTTATAATCAGTCATTTGCAATGCCATTAATTAATTAATGATTATAGGGTTCTGACAGAACTTGTCATATTCCTACAGCTACATGTATTTAATAGTTCCATTTTTAGTTCAAATATGTTTATGTGTATGTTTTGTGGGCAGAAAGTTTATAACAAACATATTATGTTTGTTATAAACTTTCCACTCACAAAACATTTACATGTATTTATAACAAAATTATTTAACATGAATTTTATTGATTGAATTGTTATTAGCTGAAGTATCCCAGGAAAGTCATGTTCACCACGTGTAAAGAGTCATCACATGTAATGTGTACTATAGTAATTGTTTGTTTAAAGAGAGGAATGAGAAATTAAAGGATTAGATGTGTTGCTTGTCTCGTTTTTTTTTTAATGTCATCAAAGGGTATTACACTGGACTGCTTGAATCTGAAGGACAAAACTTTCATTCTGAATCTTGCAACTTAGCACATATTACAACAAAAAGACTCCGCTGAGCGGCGTTGACAAAACCTGGATCGGACCGGATCACGGATCGGATCACGGATCGGATCACGGACCGGATCACAGACCGGATCACGGATCGGATCAAGGAAAAAAATTCAAAATTCAAAATCTTGTTGAGCAAATTACACTAGAGTGAGCAGAACGTTTTACTTAATTCAGGTGTGATATTCCTTTATTCTTTTATAATATCAAGCCAACTGGG